GGGTTGGCCATATTAACAAGATTTTGAATCTGATTATTAGGTTGAAAATTATTGTTAAAAATGTTTATAAGATTGTCAAGCTCGTTATCACCTTCCAGATCGAACAAATATATATATAAAAATAAAAGGAAAAGAATAATGGGATCACTTACAGCAATACCAGATTAAACTTGAAGTACATGAATCTATCTTCTATGGATTTTGGACGATGTAGTTTCGCTGTCCGCACCAATAGGATTAATGGACGATTTTTGTTCCGATCCCTGGTCGCGAGTTCACTGATTGTCAAAAGTCTTTCGTATACCACGAACGTATTTTTCGATTTGACGGAAATCGTTAGCACGAAACGCAAAATCCAAATTTTCGACTGAACCGGACTGTTTTTACCGAAGTCTCCGTCAAAATCCTACCGACTGCGCCACTTATGAGGGGTGTACACGAGAGAGCTTTTTTAAAAAACTTTATTTGACTTTATTACTCCTTTTATAATATAAAAAATAAGCTGAATAGAACAATATAAATGCTGAATTGGAGTTCTCACGGGATATAACTCACTACTGCTTATGGTGTTTATGTGCAGTAGTGGTTCGAAAATTTTGTCTAGGAGTATAGATAAGAAAAGAAACCTACAATAGCTTGTTTATATTACCCTGGTCCCTTTTTTTCTTATTTCAGTCATGATTCATCAATTAAGTATAATAATATTGAGATAAACAAATCCTTCCATCATTACTTGGAAATGCACAAAATACCAATTTCAGATTGTTTAGAAAATGTGATGAAAACCCTTTTCAGAATGATTATTATTCTAGTGGCAAAAATTGCCAAAACTACTTAGTGCAACAATTATTTTTTTATGCAGGTACCCACTGATGTACTTATACTCATTATGCATCAGAATGTACTGGTATTATTATCTAGGTATACAGGGTGTTGGATAGTTAGGGTCATTTGGGAACTGTTTGACCACATTTATCCTTATGCTAAGTTTCGTTGTTTTTGAGATATCAATCAGCATTTTTAGATATTTTTGAATTGTTCCTAAAAAAGATTGGTTTTTTTTGTAGTAAATACTTTACCCAAATGATTGATACAGAAAATATGTAGCCCAAATTATGTAAAAAATAATCCATTTCGCAATGACGCAATATAAATCGTTTTTCATTGAATGGAAACTCCGCTCCACTCTCAACAAATTGATAGATTAGAGGTCTAATTATTTATTTATAGGTAGTCCTCAGACTGGAAATCCAATTATTTCAATGGAAAAGGCAATCTGATCGATAATACCTATAACGGTACAAAGTCATAAATATGTCCGAACCAATTAATTACACAATTCAGGAAAAGCAATAAAAAACTTTAATAAAGATTGAAAATATAAAGTGTGTGGTCCCAATTATTTTCTGTAAAAAGTTGTTTTAAATTTATTTAGTAGGTAGTATTCAATGAAAAAACCTTCTTATTAATAATAATAATATAATAACCTTAATAATTTTGCATTTCAAAAATAACTATCACGAAATCATAATGAAATTTTAAATATTTGTTGATTGTGTGTCAACAATTATGAAAGGCATTATTTATTTGATGTATTTATTTACGAACAAAATATATTTACCAAATATGTAAATACTAGATTATTTATAGTAAATAAGTGAGTGAGTCATTGTAAATTGAAATCGTTCAGTTTCTGTCAGAAAATCTCTTCATTGATTGACTGTATTACAATCGTATGGCTGAGAAGAAGTGCACAAAATTCGTATTTTCCAAAGAATGACGTTCCACTATCTAATCTTGTATAGTAGATTTTGGCAAGAAAATTGAACAATCTATGAAAAGCAGTTAACTCATTCACTATACACTTGCTTATTAAAAAAAATCAAAGTTAACCTAGTTTTGAACTGGTTATAAATTTAAATTTTCAATTTCTAAAATTTCTATTATTATTGCATGAATAAACATTTTTTCCGGATTCGACTTATTGACCCGTCGTCCTCAATATTTGTATGAGAAATTTGCAAGCTCTCATTTCAAATCGAGAAGAAAAGTAGGTAATGAATATTAGAGCAGTTTGTGAGATCAAATTCTGCTCAGAAATCGATGTCGGGACAATAGATCAGAAACCGAGCCAGAAACAATTCAGATTAAGGAAAAAATTATATCATATCAAACACTTTATTAGCAATAAAAAGCTCTTACAAAATGATTTTATGAAATATTTTAAACCAGTAGGTATATACCCAACATGGAATGTCTGGAAAAGTATTCAACAAAGTCTATAAAGTTCTTACATATTTTTTACATTCAGTCTTAAATCTAGAGTAGGAGTCACATTGCTTCAATTCTGCGGGTATACTGTTAAACATTCTTAAGCCTACACTAAACAAAGTGTCACTCTGAAAATCACTAATGTAAAAATTATTTACCACACTGGATCGCGTTTGGTATGAATGAACATCTCGCACATAAGTAACTTCATCAGATAAATATGATGGTAACATATTATGTTTTAGTTTGAAAACAAAAGTTAGCATTATGTAAGTAGATCTTTGTTGTACATTCATAAGGTCTAATTTCTCCAGCATGGATTTTATTGGTGTTCTTTTGTTACAAAGTAATATTGCTCTCATGCAACGATTTTGCAGTCTTTGTAGCATGTTTCTTCGAGTCAAACTTAGATAATGATACAATGTACCGCAATATTCGAAATGAGGAGCAATTATTGACTTAAAAATTGTGAGTTTAGCGAAAAGTGAAATCTTGTTATTCAATCTGTAAAGAAAACCTGCTTTTTTTGCTATTTTCTTTTTCATGTAGTCACAGTGCAAGGATAGATTAAGTTCGGGATCCAGCATTACACCCAAATATTTGAAAGATTTAACCTGTTCTAAGATATCGTTATTCATAATTATTTTTACTGTTGCATTAGTAGTTTGTCTTTGAACTTGATTAAGGCAATGTTTAGAACCAAGAATCATGAATTTCGTCTTTGCAACATTTAGTTTTAAACCATTTTCTATGAGCCCCACATCAATATTTTCAAGATCTTTGTTTAACAGTTTTTCCATTAATGTTATTTCATCAATATTACAGACAAAATAAAGCAAAGTGTCATCTGCGAATAATTTTATTTGACAATGTTTGACATGAAGAACTATATCATTGATGAACAACAGGAAAAGAATAGGTCCCAATACTGAACCCTGAGGAACCCCTTGATCTATGCCTATGCTATTGGAATTGGCATTTTTAAATTTAACCTTCTGAAATCTCTCACTTAAGTATCCTTTGAACCATTTTAGTACTATGCCTCGAATACCATACTTTGCCAGTTTTAGTAACAAAAGATCAATGTTTACTGTCTCAAAAGCTCTACTGAGATCCAAAAATACTACACCAATGACTTTTTTCTTCTGTATTTGAGATTTCCAACCTGATATCAAAAACTGCAAAGCTGTTTCGCATGAATGTTTTTGTCTGTATCCTGATTGTTGCTCTACCAAAATATTATTTCTATCCAAATAATGAAGCAGCTGATCCTTCACCAACAATTCCAAAACCTTTTCATAAACTGGTAATGTGTTTATGGGCCTATGCTCTGAACAAAGTATTGATTTTGGGACCTTTTCGATTGGGACTACAGTGGAACATTTCCAGGCATCAGGAAAAACTCCCTGTGATAGAGATGTATTTATCAAATCTAGGAAAAATTCTCCTGCAATATCAAGAGGTAATTTAAGCGTGTTCAAGTCGATTCCGTCTTGATCACTGGAGCCCTTCCCCATGCCTAAAACTTTCAAGGATAACATTTCCCAGTCAACTGAATGAAAGCTGTCGAAGGAACAACCAATTTGTGACATTCTTTCCAACACAAAATCTAAACACTTTACATTTTTTGTTGATTTCACTAAGTCTCTAATGCTGTTTACAAAATAAGTGTTGAAATTATCTGCTATTTCCTGATCATTTTCCAAAATTACAGCTTCAAATTTTATTTTAGATATTTTTTCAACTTTTTTACCTGAAACTAACTCCTTTATTGCTTTCCACATATTTTTACTGTCATATTTATTATCATCAATTTCTTCCTCATAGTATTTTCGTGTTTCATGTCTCAATTTGGTCGTTACTTCATTTCTCATAATCTTGTAGTTGTTCCAATGTTCCTCAGTTTCCGATTCCTTTGCTAACCTAAATAACTGATCTCTATATTGTAAACTCATCATAAGATCATAGCTGAACCAAACTCTTAGCTTAAAATTATCAAAATTATTAATTTCCTTAAATGGAGCGTGAACATTAAGCGCATCCACAATATTTCTTGTGAAAGTACCTGCTAAAATATTTATATCTTGACTACCTGATGACCAATTCAAAGTAAGCAAATATTGTTTGAAGTCATCTTTATGAAAATTTGAAAAGTTTCTTCTTATAATTACTTCTTTGGCATTATTTTTGGGTTTATTTATGTCCAGGGATACTAAAATATTTGAATGGTCCGATACTTTCGGCCTATCAGAAACTAAATGCTGTAGTGAGTTTTCATTTGTTATCAAGTAGTCAATTAAATTTGCACTGTTTAATGTTACTCTTGTGTAATCTTGAACTAACTGATTTAACTTTAAAATCGATATTAAAATCGCCAAGTATGATTAACAAACATTTTTGCGATACTAGCTCTTTAAATTTAGACTCTAAAACCTGCAGAAATTCAGGAATTGTTAGAGGAATGCTAAACAACCAAAACTGTATAGAATTTATTCAATGGTATATTTTTCATGATTATTCCAAGAGGGCAACATCTTGAGCAAATGTGTTTTTAGGAAGCTTTTTGTACATACTGATTATTCAAATATTTTTCCTATATTTATATCCTTGAAAATAATTTTTCAAAGCTGTGCTCTACACAATTCCTTTAACTTGGCTACATAAATCAAGAAATAAACACCGGCTAAAGCAAATAAATGAAATAAAATTGTATATTCTTATTGTTTCAGACAAGAGTTATTAAAATGGAACGGTTGGGGCTACAAGGATTCACAATTTGTTTATCAAGACGGCAAAGTGCACTTTACAGGAAAAAGGTATTAATTTTACAACCGAATATAAAAATGCTTAATCCAAATTATAGGTATCCTATAGGCGAACAACCCCTTCCACATCTGATAGGATACGTGACAGAGACTATGGGAGTAGATTTAAACATCCAATCTATCGAACGAGATCCGCCAAAAGAATTTGACTACCCTGAACCCAACATACCCCAAAATGTTTTCGAGTTATTAAAATCTTTGGAAATTCCATATTCTGTGAAAATAATGGACAGGGTTACGCGAGCACATGGTCAGACTCTGAACGACGTGTTTATTTTAAAAAATGGCCAATTTAAACGTATTCCGGATGTTGTAGTTTGGCCAGAGTCGCACGACGATGTTGTTAAATTGGTTAAATTTGGCAATGAAAATAATTTAGTGGTAAGTCAGAATATCTATTTAGCAATAATTATTCTCTAGGACTGTTCATAAAATCTCACTTCTACTATTTCCGTTAGCTCTTCCTGGGTGTTTCTTCTTCGCATTCTATTTCATAGTTGTATCGTTGTCAATAGTCTCACTGATTTACTGGGAATTTTTCGGACAACTAGATGTAGATATTGATTGAGTATTCTTAGTTTTCTTTTCTTTGATAAAAACCTAACTCTAAGAGGTGATTTGGTTTAAAAAAAAAAACTCATATTCCTAAGCGGCATTCAATTTGCCATATGCCAATAAATATTTTATCTCATATTCCATATAGTAGCAGAATTATCCGCCCAGAAATATCACAACCACATCTATTTGATGGATAAATTCAAACCGCAAATACGTGAGTAACAAAGGTTTTATGGACTGTTTTGTTTAATAAAAAAATTAAGCTACTTATAGTAAATGATTTCCACTAGATTATTCCCTATGGTGGTGGCACATCAGTATCAGGTGCAGTGGAATGTCCTCAAGACGAAGATAGACCTATAATATCCCTAGATACCTCTCAAATGAATCGAATTCTATGGTTAGACAAAGAAAATTTGGTAGCTTGTTGCGAAAGCGGCATAATAGGTCAAGATTTAGAACGGGAATTGAGTAAACTTGGTTTCACTACAGGCCACGAACCGGACAGTTATGAGTTTTCAAGTTTGGGAGGTTGGGTGGCAACCAGAGCGTCAGGTAAGTACCATAAAAATACAGTTTTATTTTCAAATTTTTATTGCCGTGATTTCTTAGGTATGAAGAAAAACACTTATGGAAACATCGAAGACATAGTTGTCCACGTGAAAATGGTCACTCCGAGAGGTGTATTGCAAAAAAACTGCCAAGCTCCTAGGATGAGCTGCGGCCCTGATTTCAATCACGTGATAATGGGCTCAGAAGGTTCCTTGGGTGTCATTACTGAAGTCATTATAAAAATTCGCCCACTGCCAGCCTGCAGGAAATACGGCTCTCTTGTGTTCCCTGACTTTGAGTCAGGCATAAAATGCATGAGAGAAGTTGCAAAGCAAAGGTACCTACAATTTTTATGAGCTAATAATTTTTAAATAATTATTCTTATGTAGATGTCAACCAGCTTCAATTCGATTAATGGATAACGACCAATTTAAATTGGGAATGATTTTGAAACCGGCAGCGTCCTATTTTGGTATTATACTAGACGGGATCAAGCACTTTTACATAACAACTATCAAGGGATTCAATATTGATAAAATGTGCGTGATGACTTTGCTATTCGAGGGCCAGGAGAAGGACGTTAAAATTAGCGAACAGAAAATCTATTCTATTGGGGAAATGTTTGGCGGTGTTCCTGCTGGAGAAAAAAATGGTGAACGAGGATACATGCTGACGTTTGTTATTGCTTATATCAGGGTGAGAACTGTTTTTATTTTGTCAGTATATTTAGATGTTATTATTTTCAGGATTTAGGTTTAAAATACCAAATAGTTGCAGAATCATTTGAAACTTCTGTACCCTGGGATCGTGCCGTAACGTTAGTTCAAAACGTTAAATATTTAATCTCTAGGGATTGCAAAAACTTTGGAATAACTCATTTCGTTATAAATTCCCGCGTCACGCAAACTTACGACGCCGGCTGTGTAATTTATTTTTATTTAGGATTTAATTATTCTAATATTTCGGACCCTGTTAGCGTCCATCACCAATTAGAGGAAAAAGCTCGTGATGAAATTATAGCTTGCGGAGGGAGTATATCGCACCATCACGGAGTCGGAAAATTACGGACGAAATGGTATACTGACACTGTTTCTAGAGTAGGTGCTGATTTGTTGGTCGCTACTAAAAAAGAATTGGATCCAAATAATGTTTTTGCTACCAATAATTTTTTGACTTTTAGTACGAAATCTAAACTTTAAGGATTATGTTGTTCTTGCCTTGATGTAGCAGTTTCTTTTGTGGATTTCTTTTATAAAAAAACTAATCTGGTTGGTAGAAAGTAGAATATTTTGTAATAATTTATATGAACCATTGAAAAAAATAGATTTTAAAACCCATCATTGAGCTCATATTCTTGCCTTCATTATTTGAGATATTAGGTTTGTTCCAACCGGCAGTAATTTCCAGTAATATTACTAGCACACATGCGCAATTGTGAAATGCTGTTCCAGCCAGTTAAAATTACTAATTTAGAATTAGCGATCATTGACAGTTCGTCGTTCCAACCGGAGTTACGGATAGTAAAATTACGGTTCAAACGATTCTTGCTTGAAAGGAAGAACTGTTGGTTCTAAAATTAGACGCATGCGTAGTGAGGTCGAAAACGAGTCAGTGGTTGAACAACAATGAACATAAGTAATAATATATAACCCAGAACCTCAGTTTGTTGTTTATTTAAATTATTTATTTGAAAATGACTGCTATAGAAGTTAAGTAATTTTATTTTATTTATTCTCAGAGTTAATAAATCTGATTTTTGTCTTATATTAGGTTTAGAAGAATTCCTTATTGTGGTGGAAGATGATTCACCTGCAAGTTATGTTGATTTTCATCTTGTATTGTGAGTACTACTAGTTCAAAAAAACGTTCCAACAAGTTTTTAAGTTATTTAGTATAATATTACTGTTTTTGATTGCGCAGTCGCATTAGCGCGGTTACGGACGATAATATTACAGTAATATTATTGCAGGTTGGAACAAACCTAAAGTGATTTGGGTTTTCAAGTTAATTTTTGCACCAAAGACTTAAGTTTGAAGCATCACAACATTCCTTGCCAAAGATTAATTGTTGCCATGAAATTTGTTATGTATTAATTTGGTTTTTATGGGGAAATTTTCTAGTCAGTTTTTATGTTACCATATAAATTTAGGATGTTTGTTTTTTAATGTAATAATTATTGATTTTCCTCCAATAACTATATGGATTTTTTTTTTAAATAAAAAATATGTGGATATGAGTGAAAATATTGTTTTAATTATTTTCTCAACCCCATTACAAAATCGTTATTGGTTTTTGGTACGCCAACGTAACACCTACACAAATAAAATTCACGTAGGATTTACTTTATTGGACCGAGCATTCGGTAGGAACGTGGGTGCTTGTTATCCATAATTGTGGCTCATAATAAATCTCCATTATATAAGGGAGGTAGATAATCTGGAAAAAAAATACCAACAAGTATACTACAAAATGAAAGAAGGAAAATTTATTCGAACTAATAAAAATATTAGGCATTTTCGAAGAGAGTGCACTAAAGTTACAATAAAATATAGTAAAATCTGAATCAAAGATTTGTCTTCGTCCAGCTCTCCTCCCTGACTTTCTCGATCGCTTTTTTCCAGCTCCTCATGTATTTTGCCAATCTTTTCAACATGTCCCAATATCTAGAATAATCAGGAAGTCCTTTTCATTATGTGTATTGAAAAGCCCAAACAGCACATAAACATCCTAAAAACGCCCCTAAGATGTCCACAAACGGCATTCATAGACCTTAGCTGATAGGTACTTATTGGTAAGAAAAGTTTCAGATCTGGCAACCGATGCCTTTGGCTTCAGATAGTATATGGGAAGACGAGTCCAAAAAGCCCGGGACACAATTTTTTTTTGTCCTATAGCGGCGTTAATGACGTATGAACACGTTCAATGTAAGTCCATGTATGGAAGGAATACAGTAAATAGGTATATCACAAATCTTGCAAGAATAAATATGACAATCAAAAGGCGGAAAGACTATCTTATTAAAAGAAACCGAAAAAGCATCCATCTACATCAAAATTTACAAAATCATCATTATTTTGTTCAGATGTGAAAAACATGTGTTTGTTTTGTGACAAAGGAGAAGGTAAAGACGAACTTGTGACTGTATGTATCCACGCTGGGTATTGGCTCTAAAATTCATATTCATGTTGTACAGTTACAAGATGAAAAAGGGTTGAAGAAGTCATCATCAATAGATTTTGTAGCATTAGAAACCAAATACCACAAACTATGCTATACTCACAATATATACACAAACGATAAGCGACCGGATGTCAGAGTTCGATGTCCCCAATCAATAGACTCTTGTGACATTACAATAAAAAAAGTCAATAAAAAATTATAAAATTAGGACGCGTTTAACCGGAAATCACTATACTCTTGTGATTTAATTGCGTCATAACTGATAAACTACAACACCAGTGTTTCCGCCGGATATTGCATCATATTCTAAATAAAAACTTAAAAAAAAAAACAATTCTTGGAAAACAACGTTGTTTATCACTCGATAAACGTGGTCAAATAAGAGGATTGGTTCGAGAAATGCTAAATAAACGCCCACGTAACAGATTTTTGGTGGGAATTGAGTACTATTTAAGCAGGTTACAATCAGAAAAAGGCAGATAACATCCAGCAGTTGATTTGATAGTAAGATTTTAAGAATCAAGAAAATTGGCAGTGAGTGAGTCTTCACCAAAAAGTTTTTTTTATCTTTGTTTTGCCTCGGGCAAAAAGCTAAAAAGTTTACGATTGACTATTGTCTAGTAAGAGTCAGGTTTTCCTTTGTTTGTGCGTGCTAAGTAACTGAAAGTAATTTTGATCCTCGAATTCACAACAGAAATGAATTAGAATAGGAAATTTTGCCTATTTATTAGGTAAAATTGGCTCCTATAATAATCCAAATTACTTTTTTCTACGAAAGCGATTAAGCAGGCAAGTACCTATTGTAAAACCCTTATAGCAATGAACATGGTTGGGACCGAATTTACTCATCCATAAAACGGTATAAAATTTTTAATTTATTTCATTACCTGCTGAGACCGAATTTACCATAACCCTTCATTTTGTATGTGTTATTGGAGGGTCCCAATATTGACTCTGGCGTCACACCAGAAATATCTGCAGCAAATAATGCAGGATTGTCAATTGCCCAACTTATTAGATATAACAGCATTAAGCATGCCAGAAAAGAAAATGTTCAGAGTGTACATCACTTCCTGGAGAGAGAAACACCACTCCCACTATATGTAGATTTCATGATTCACGCTATCACTAAAAAGAAAAAGATTATAGATGAACTTTGTCATCTGGCTTGAGTGTTCCATATAATCGAGTGCAAGAAATATCAGCCACAGTTACGAATGTATTGTGTAAACAATATATGGAACATGGTGTTCACCCGCCAAAGTTGTGTCCCACTGTATTTGTAACATTAGCAATAGACAACATTGACCACAATCAATCTTCTTCTACTGCCGTTATTTGTTTCCATGGTTCACGTGTGACGAATATTTAATTAAATTGTTTATGGCCTCCCTGAATATTACACTATACTCTTCCTGCAAATGGGGAAGTTAGAAGTGACTTTCCTTTGCCAACTATCAATCCACAGTACTGTAGTGACGCAGAAATAAACCACCAAGAAAAACCGCCTAGAATAAAAAAATTGTTAATAGATCTGGTTATTTTGTTGAAAAATGAAACAAACAAAACATAAATCATACTGGAAAAATGAAATCAAAATCAACTACAACTTACTGAAAATTAAACACCCCCGGAGACAACAACACTCGACCAGTTACAGCCGGAACTTCTAGTAAAAATGATCTGACCATCGAATAAAGAAACAACAGAAACTGAAATCCCTTCTCAAAAATCCGATAAGTGGGGCCACTCAAAAATAGATGATTCAATTGGAATGTGTCCCTGAAACGCGGCACTTTACTAACATGACGCCATTTGTCACTGAACCCAAATTCCGGGAAAGCACCATAAATCAGGCGCGTACTGTATGCCGACAAAGAAACGGTACCGCATTCCACTAAAAAGAGGGCCGAGATGACGACATCTTCATGTCAAAGCACTCATAAAATTAGGGGAGAAATTAGGCCGAAAGAACAAAGGAAGGAAAGAGACAATTTTTATATAAAAAGCCTGAATTGCGATAAAAATAGCAGTGTCGGTTCAAAAGAAGTATCAGTCAAGAACGGTCAAAAGTGTCAGTCGAGAACAGTCAGTCCAGAACGGTCAAAAGTGTCAGTCGCAGCAAGCAGAGTCCAAAGTCGAAGATAGTACGAGAAGTTTTAAGGAGGCAGTGCGAAAATTTCGGGTTCATAAAGTCAAGTCGTAAAAATATCGTTTCAGTAATTACGTGTGTGCCAGTAGAATTTTAAAGTAATAAATACATCTTGTAAGTACATTTACACTGTAAGAAGGAAATTTGTACTCTTTATAAAATAGGACAAAAAGTTAATGAATTGATAAATTTACGAAAGTTAAATAATTATCCCAAAAGGAATTAAAACATTTTTAAGATGAAATTTCATGATTAATAGTTGGTAAAATAAGAAAATTTGAAGCTAAATTTTGTAAAAGAACTTTAATTATTGAAACATATTTCGTTATTCATAATTATTTATAACATTTTGAATTGGGATTTTCGTGATTGATAATTGGAAAAATTTGAACTTTCTAACTTCACATTATTTTTAATAAGGCAAACTTTTGGTACGAAACTTACCTATTGAATATGATAAACTACTAGATGGAATTTTCATAATAGAATTAAGGTATTTGTGAGAAAACAGTGAAATTTTAAATAAGTCAGAGTAAAAACTATGGTTATTATATTTCAAGCCTTTCTGGCCGACTCCCGATAAATTTATTTTAAATAAAATCATATTAAAATAATAGTCCACAGTTGTGTTTTACTCTCACACCCGCAAATAGGACCCATATCAATCTGTGTCTCCACTCAGAAACAAAAGCCGCCGCTCGCTGTTTTCAGGAAAGTCTCAAATCCTTGGCTGGCAATGGTAAGGCATATGATGGATATCATAATAATGCTTACAGCAAAATTTAATTGAAATCATCAAGCTCCCGTGATAACATGTGATTAACCCGTATTGGGCAACTGCAATGGAAGTTTTCTGACAAATATGGCGAGGATCGCATCATATTCATGATGGGTGGAGGTGGCGCTTTTGGAATATTTGACAGTGGAAATGCTCTGCTCAAGTGGATGGTAGCAGGCCCTAGGATCAGTTTTTTTTTATTGAGGAATTTGAGGAGAAATCAAATTTAAAAGATGACAAAAGTGGGCGCAAAGCATCATAAGGATATAACATTGCATTTGAGAAAAAGTTTTTGGCCCATGTTAAAAAAAATGAATAATATCTTAATCGAACAAGGAAATCCGTTTGAAGAAACCGATTTAGTGTCAATAGGAAGCTCTAAACTAATTACAAGTGTCGAAGCTGTGAAGTGTGTTACGGAAGCGTTCACTTTAGGACTGAAGTAGTATGATGAATATGTCTCGATCAAGTTCAAAATTCAGTCCATGAAATTATTCCTCGGACCAATATTTACATCTTCAAGACTATTACAATTAAAACAGATAAGTCAAAGTCCAAAATTGCTTACTTTCGTAAAGATTCCAACTTGTTTTGTAGACTGTACGTCGCATCTGAAGCATGGGATAGCAACATTGATGAGTTATTTTCGCATGAAAACCAAATGTACCCACCATCTATTTCAGATGATAGAAAACTCTGCAAACCAACCAACAAGTCGGATATTATTGACTGCATTCAAACAAAATGTGACATTAGCTTTAATCTCAACCAACCGAATGTAACAGCTAAAATATTTGATAGAGCAGAGCTGTAATATATAATACATGCTTAATCCTGCACATGCTAGCACATTTTCCGAATACTATGATCATGTTTTCAAACCATATTTCACAAATCAACTGAAGAATAGTTCACGAATAGATATTGTATTCGACAGATATATTAGTAACAGTTTGAAGGCAGATACCTGAGAAAGTAGCATAAGTATTAAAGTCTCAGACTCAACTAGAATTCCAAAAAAATGTAAGCAATTCTTATATGTTAACGGAAATAAGACTGAATTGTTCCAGTTGCTTGCTGAGAAAATGGTGAGAGACGAGTATCCAGGAAAACAGGTGGTCTGTACTTATGATGACCAAGTCTTCACGTCAACAACTATGGATGTTTCAAGCATTTCTCCCGCCTCACACGAAGAAGCAGATGTAATGATCCGGAAAAATAGTCCCGATATTAACAATGTCTTTACTGTAAAAATTAAATGTAATCAAATAATTAAAAACTAAATTTCCTGTATTTCAAATCAGTATCAATAAATTGAAAATGAAACAAATTAACGTTGACCCCAAATACGTTCAAAATTATATTAGATATTTCGTCACCAAGCCTGTGTCATCATCTAAATTCCTAAAAATATTAAAAGCGAGGCCATAGTAATTAAATCAATGATTTATGGCACACGTGTGTCGGCTTTCTTTGTGTTGCCCTCACATTCTTAAACTAAAGTTTTTGACCCCTATAAATCAGAAAATTGCGACATAATTATTCGATTTTGAACAAATAACAAAGGAGATTGCATCATCCTCACAATTGTGATGGACAAAGAAATTTTGGGGGGATCGAATAATATAAATACAGCGGTTTCAATTGAGATTGGCAGTTGTCAGTTGAGTTGTTAGTTCAGTCCAGTTTGAGTTAAGGTCTACAGTATCTAATGTGCCAGTCTAAGTAAAATTCGCGAAAGTTTCTTCTATTGCCTCGGAAAAAGTCTCTGAAATAGTAACGGAAAATTGTAAAAGAAAGAACAGTTAAATTCGTTCAATATTATGTGCGTGCTCTAGAGATTTTTTTGAAGTAAATTAAATTAAGTAATTTTACGTGTGAAAAGTTAAATGTAAGTACTTTAGTGATTATTATTTTTCCGACTTTTAACAATGATTCTGAATGATAAAAAGTGAATTGACAATTACTTTTAATGCCTAAAAACTTGAGTAATTTTGACTAGTAAAACTTTCGACTTTATAAATGATAAATGATTATGAAGTGAATTAACTTTGGAACTTTATTGCATAAATATTAATAATTCGAGGGTTTTGACTATGGAACCTTATTGCATAAATTTAATTGCCTTCGAGTATAATGACATTTTAATCAATTTTGCAAAGAATTAAAAGGGGAATTTATAATGCACTTAACAAGTATCGATTTTGAGTAGGAATTATTAAAGAATTTTGGAATTGGATTGTCCAAATTGAAGTTTAAGGGCTATAGTAACGAATCTAATAAGAATTAAATAATTGTGTTTGTTGGCTAGGAATCCGAAAATAGTAATTGTTCTGATTTAAATAAACCATTATATGTAAATGGGAAGTTTCGAAATGAAACTTGTTGTTCATGAAGAAACATTGAAAATCTTGATTGCTGAAATTTTGAATTAAGGTTTTTATTTTTCATGTAGAAATTATTGTAAGGTTTTTTTTATGAATAAGTTAGTAATACCTATATTATTAAACAAATAATTATTTTGATTTTGCATAAGCAGTCAGACTTAGGAATTTTCAAGAATTTATAGATATAGGTGAAGGGTAGTTTAATATTTAATAGGAATAAATCGGAAGTGTTGAAATGTATAAACGTATAAGTTATTAGGAAGAGTAGGAGTAGGGCGTTTTTCTTTTATGGATATTACCTGGTCCGTAATAATGACATTTGAACGGATGTGAAGTGGCTGTCAGAATTGAAAGATATTTTGCTTATTTAAATTTTTGGTTTTATATATAATAAAATATAATTTAGTAAACCTCAATAGTTTGTTTCTCTCTTTTGCGAATAGACCCTCCACAATTTTATAGGTAGCAGCTCCAAGGAAATAAACACCATCAATATACCGCTCACCATTTATCATCTAACCAATTACATAGAGTACTTGGGGCGTTTTGCTACACCGTTTACTTCTCCATGTTAAGCATGCAGTAGAAAGTGGATATACTCGCATCTTAATTCGAACTGTGGACTCAGATGTAGACGTAGACATTCTTATCTTGGACCCCCAGTATAGCGTTCCAAAGGTTTTTTCACGCACAAAAACGGGTAGTTTGTAGGTAAGTTAGAGTGAGTTAAAATAAGAGAATTGTTGTATAATACGTAAAAGTAATAAGTGAATTTCATGACAGTTATTATCAGTGAAGAGAGTTTTTATAGAGTCTCGGACTTTTTCATAATCTAAAATCTCATAAAAGTTACTCTTTATCAACAACTAGATTTGAATAGTGGGAAAAATCTACTTAGCGTAAATTAAAATCATGTTTATCAAAATCAATCATAGAGCAACTTTAAGTTTAGAATCTTCGCATAAATCAAACATAATCATCATTCGTGTTAACGATTTTCTTCGGCCCATTTGACCAACACACCGAAGCTGGGTCAGAGCACAGGACCAGTTGATTTGATCGCGAAATTGGGCCAGCTAAAACTGGCTGCTTGCTCTTGCAGGTTTTTGTCAGCTAACTGCGCAGGCATCCCCCAGCATCCCTCGGCCAGCATCTCGTGAACCAGAAATTCCCGTAAACGGATCCAAAGATCCTCGCGGAACAAATCGATGCGTGCTTGTTAAGGTGTCTATATAGTTTTTGAATCAATATATTGTATTGTTTTTTTGGTGCTTCATTATTATATTATATGCATCTATTGTTTTTTGATAAAATAAAATTAATTTTGATTCTCACATAAATTTGAATACATATAAGGTATATATACTAATTAGAGATTTTATTATACAATAATTATTTATGCAGCATATAAACACCATCTAAATGATATGGGGCCAATTCAAATTCAATAATTTTTTGGTAATTATATAGTGAAATTTATCGGACTTAGTGCGAAACGCGATCAATGTACTGAAAAGTAAGGTAAGTGGAAATTTTTTGGCATGTAAGAACATTCAGTATAACCATTATTATGAGTATATACATATTTATTATATTTTAGGTGAAATCAATACCATTATAGAGTGTTTCGTAATAGGTAATCATCTATAAAAAAAAACATTTTCGATCTGTTAATATTGATTTTCTTATAAATTTGAACGCAATAGTTAAAAAGAATACCTACCTACTAATGAACAAAACTGATAACGTTAAAGAAATAGAAGAAATTTGATATGATAGCAAAATGATACCAACTATAATAAGTAGTTTAGAGGTCAAAATAGGTCGATTGTAGGATTTTATTCAAGATTCCCAAAAATTACTGGCATTTCATGACCAACAACTTTATTTAGTACTAGGCAGAACTTGGCATTGAAGAAATTTCCAATCAAATGATATTTTTTTGGTAACATAAATGTTTTTCAACGGAATTATATGTTTTTTTGGGGTGCTGAATACGAATCTGAAGTTTGCTGCCTCGTAGCAGAACCGGCTCAGGCCGAAAATCGCGAAAAACCTCGAAATTTTCGGACTTTTTTAGGTTTTTTGTTCATAGCTTGCAAACGACGCATCGTCCGGAAAATGTCATGTTATTCAAAGTTGAAGAGCTTAAATTTCTGCGTCGAATGACCTACCTTTCCTTGTTACTGTCAGATTTATAAGCCCGCCATCGTCAGTCGGAAAAAGCAAATTTCAATGAACTTTTGTGAAAACTGCAATAAGCTTACTTTTAGGCGACAGTGATTTCATTTCAAAACAACCACTCTAAGTAAAAAAAATCTTTGAAGATGTATCTAACTATAAATTTTGAGTTCATTGAGCACGAAAATTTTAGTCTGACTTGAGGATTTATAAGTATTGTATGTAAATGTAATAGGGAGTAATCAAATCAATCAAATTTGAAAAGTACTTCATTGTCCTGAAAAAAACTTTTCAAAATAAATATGGAGTTGAAATTTGCTGCAACAGTCCCAAAATGCAATTCTATAAGTAATGTGTGACTCCACCAGAGAAAAATATGCAGCTCCAACAATCAGTACCCATTTACACAAAAAAATATTTACTCATTTATTACATTTAGATTAACAAGATGAGAGAATTTATACAATATACATAATATGTACCTATATTGTAGGAAAAATCATGGAAATACCTACAATCAGCTGAAGAGAAAGATCTAGCAAGTTGTAGTATAGTGTGGAAATATGCTCTATGGAGAATACCTGATAGCAATGTCCATTTTCTCTTTACTATCCTTCGTAAGTTTATTGCAGTTTTCACAAAAGTTCATTAAAATTGGCTTTTTTCAACTGACGATAGCGAGCTTATAAATTTAGCAGTAAGAAGGTTAGGAAAGTTATTCGATGCAGAATTTTATGCTTTTCAACTTTGAATAGCGTGATATTTTTCGTACGATGCGTCGTTTGCAAGATATTACCAGAAAACTGGAAAAAGTCCGAAAATTTCGAGGTTTTTCGCGATTTCCGGCCTGAGCCGGTTCTGCTACGAGGCAGCAAACTTCAGATTCGTACTTAGCACCCCAAAAACTGTTGAAAAACCTTCTACCGCATTCATGTTACGTAACAGGCACTTTTGAACACCATTTCATCAAGATCCAAATCTACTGTTTTCAAAGTTTTCTACAAAAATCTAAAGTCCAAGATAATCAATGCCTCAAATAAAAAAAAGTATGTGACAAAAAGTTCCCGAAATGCTGAAAACAGCATCATTATACATCAATAATAAAATTTGCATTCTATACGAAAGTTCCATCTTTTATTATATTATTTTAAACTTCGAATTCGTTTTAGAAAGCCATTGAATGACTTTAGAATAGAAAATGTATTCGCTTTTTTTTTATCGTGGCTTTCCTAATTTAGATTTTCTTTTAATTTCAGAAGGAATGAAAAATATATTGAAAAGAGAGCCAGTGGATCATCAATCAGGTAATGTAACCTTCATTTTAAAGAGAGGCAAAGTACATATTGCCAGAAAATATAAGAAAATCCTCATAATCCCCCATATTAATCAATATAGTGCCAGCATAATAGTGATTTAATGTTGCATAAACTGTACATATAAAGAAGATACTTATATAACCTGCTTTTCCACCAATTCAAGAAATAATTTGAGTCTTTATTTTACTCAAGACGGCAATATGAAATATTATGTAATATTAGTGCGCTAAATTAATGAATTAAAAGTGTTAGAGTAAGTCATTAGAGTCAAGGAACTCCTGTCCGAAAATTTAGACAAGTAACTTTTAAACAGTAAGTAAAAGTGCAACACGGGTTCTGGCACAAAATCAGTCATTTTTCCATGTAAATCTCCATAAGAAAATCTAAGTCTGTTCTGGCAATTTTTGTACCATTTTGGAGTGGGGTAAAATTTCTAGGAATAAGCCAGTGCCCGTGTCTTTCATCTATCGCACTAGCTGGTTAGTCGCCACTACTTCAGGGTCATTGACCGTACCTGTCCCAAGTGGCTCATCGAATCCACATAACAACTCGTGACATGGTTCCCCATTCAAGGTACCTCGTACTGATGATGACGTAACTGATAATAAAATCAGCCTCGTGCTTTGTCTAGTTGCAGATGCAAGTTGCACGAGGCAAGAGCCAACTTTTAGGTCATGTAAATGAGGTCCGGAGAACAAAGCGCCAGAAATTGGGGGCCCGTAATACGGGTCAGTTCAATAGCTATATCAGACCAGTCTCTAGACCTATATAGCTGTATACAGATCTGTCTCTGGACCTGTCTAGCTGTATACAGACCTATCTAGACATGGCTTTGGAATCGATGTTTATACGTACCTAAATGTGGAAATCTACTCATGTACAAGTGGGTTAAAACTTGCTAGAATCCTGTTGCGACTTTGGTTACGGACAGGGTAGTTGAGAAAATGTCCGATTTTGACACTAAGTCCAAGTTAGTGCAGATGTTTTGACATAAACCACAAAATTATTACTTGTGAAAATAATATTAATTCATTCATCAATATTCAATCAGTGAGAGTGAAACTACTGAAACTCCATGAATGACTTATGTATCGCGTCTTTTATACACATTTTATTATTTTACTCCAACTTTTACACATAAAATCAGATTTAACCTAGGAAGTAGATACGCAAGATTCAATAACTGAGTTGTGGAGAAACAATAACCTAATTAAAAAAAAGAACAAAAACTTTAAAATTACATTGAGATTTTTTTAGGCTATCTCGGAAACTCTAGAGTAGTACTAAATCAATTTGATGTATCCACTCAGGTACTATAATTTCCATAAAGTTTCTATATAATGAATACGCGAATTTCTGAGTTCAGGCCGACATACAGCATCAGAATCTGAACCACTCAGCGCAAGATGAAATAATGGGACGATTGTATGGTAGCGAAAAACACATAAATCATTTAAACGGCAAAAACGTGGCTCACTACAGTAAACAAGATATTTTGGAACAGTACTGTATATCGGAGAGAGGCTTGGGCGCTTTAGAAAATGAGAACAGTAGAATATTTGGGTTAGTAATATGTATTTAAAGAAAGAAATAGTTTATATTAGTTTATTTCAGGTGCCTTTCTTCACATCAAAGTTCGCCTTGCTCAGCACGCAATGCTTCCTCGTTTTTTACAGCTTGCATGCGACAAAAAGTTTCTTCAGATGAAAATTTATATGAACTTTATAAAAGGCATCCTAATGAATATGCTCCTTTTCCTAAAAGGCACAGGTAAAAATTTAATTTTGAATATTTAGCATAAAAATTTCTTAATTCCAGATATCCATGGTCTTCGGTAACGCCTGAAATATACTCTTACGATCGAGATTTGAAAAATTCATATTTTCGAAGAAAACCATACCCGGACCCAAGCCGATATACATGGATGCCAAGTGACGATGAATCTATAAAAATGGAAAAGCCAAAGTCGATAATAGATCTTTCATATAGAAGCTCAATGATGTCACAAAGGTAAACTTATTTAGAAGCAAAATAGGATATTTACAAAATTTTTTTTTTAGTAAAAAACACGTTAGCTTTGCCCGTTCTCATACACTGACGTCATTTGACGACACTATGTCGTCATTGAGTTCCTCTTCCAGTCATCTAAATCGAATAACCAGAAGCCAAGAAAGACTTTTGGAAGTCAGGAAAGCTGAAGGTTTGCAAGCGATTACCAAGCAACCAGAGTTGCTCGAAAATAAAGCTATAATGGGTAAAATATAGGCGATATTTTTTACAAATGACATAAACATTTTGTTATTTAGATAAAGTGAAAAGAGGTCCAATGAAAACCCAAGCTACACAGACTGAAACGTTTTTAGGAAAGAAACCTTTACTCGCACATATCAATCTCAGTCCAAGAACTGTCCAAAGAGTAAGTGAAAGAATACATTTATGTGGTTCAAACAAGCTTTGTTGACTGGTTTACATCCATTTATAAATTTGTTTTCTTTTATACAAGGTGTTCCTAAATATCATGTACAAACGGAAAGGGGTGATTCTTTAGTTTATTTTATAACTTAAATTTCTAATGAACATAGGTCCACAAACGCTTCAGGGTATTGAAATTTTAATGTATTCATATTGAAAATGAGCAAGAATATGGCGGCAGAAGCTCCATTATCGCCACTGTAGGTAGAAAAGGTTTACTGAGTCACTGTAGTTTCATCTAGCTAATTTCAGAGATTTGTTTTTACATTTTTTTTCTTGATAAGGGTTGGCGATACGAAAAAACTACAAGGGAACAAAAAGTTTCTAAATAAGGTTGAAATAGTATATTACATTGACTTTTAAAAAATTCACTTTTTTGACTTTTACTTTCCACCCACGGGTCGAAAGTCTACTTTCCTTCCGTAGGCCGAAAGTAATTGAAATTGTTGAAATTTATTGTATTTTTTGACTTTTACTTTACTTGAGATTTAAGTTAGACCTCGGCTGCGCCTCGGTCTAACTAAAATCCCTCGACAATAATAAAACACTTTCCACCTCGGTATGTAATATACTATTATTTACAATCAGTCAAATTTTGTTATTTTTATTTAAATGAAAACTAAGAAAATACAATAAATAGCAATTTCATTTACTTTCGGCTCGCGGGAGGAAAGTAAACTTTCGACCCGTGGGTGGAAAGTAAAAGTCAAAAAAGTGACATTTTCGAACTTTTTAAAAATCAGAATACCAACATTACATGTATGATTGTAAATAAAATTATTTTGTTTCCTAGATCGACCAGTGGCACACCGCGAGAAAAATCAGGGACAGAAAAGGGGACATGACCCCTGAAGAAAACATCACCCTGTAGATTCTGGCAAACGTTTGACATGTGCACTCATTTGGCTCCTATTGCGTGACCTATATTTCAAATTTGAGCTAAATCCCTTAAAAGTTGCAGGAGCTATATAGAGAAAAAACTAAAAAAAATATTAAAATTTCAACACCCTGTAGATTGTTAACGGAGCGTTTGCGGACCTATGTTCATTAGAAATTTTTGTCATAAAATAAACCAAAGAATCACCCCCTTTCCGTTTATACATGATATTTAGGAACACCCTGTATATAAAAAAAAATAATTTCAGGTGAAAATGGTTTCACAAGCAGCACAAACCAATGGTATAAATGGTCGTAAACTTATGAAATCATTATCGGAAGCAGGCAAGAAATTCCCATCATCTCCTAATCAAGAAACGGATTTTATGAAATCGTTAGAGCATGAACCATTACAAAGGTAACTAAGCCTTTTATGCTTTCAATATGTTCTATTTACATAATTTTTTATTTTCCAGAACTCAATCTGATGAGCCACCAAGATCACCATTCCTAGTCACCTCACCGCCAGTACCTTTACCTCAAGAAACCCAATTGCCAAGTGAAACTTCATCTCTATCGAAATCCGAAGATCACGAATCCGAAGACTCGGGAGAAATTAAAAAGGAAATTTTCATTGATTTTAAGCCGCAAGTTTCGTTTACTTCGAGCAGCTCAACGAAACGACCATTAATAAAAACAGCTTCAGATGGTGTGATTTTACTAGAACAAAGAAAAATTTATAAATCTGAGGATTGTGTCGTTCCTAATGTACGGCCTTATAGTTCCATCAGTCACGAGAATCTTCAAGTAGAAGAAGAGGAACCTCAGAAATATACTGCATATTTTCAAAGAAGTATTTGTATCCGTTATATGTTTTTTAGGTTTTATAAAAATATAAATTTTCAGTTCCAATAAAAAACGAAGGAATTTTCAAGCAATTGGATGAACATAACATTTATTCGTCTGTAGATGAAAGTTTACGGCCGCAAGATTCTGTAGATGAAGAATTTCATGAGAATATTTTTTATAAAAAAATATTTGATAGGTAAATTCAAAAACTATTTCAATATCAAATAATCTCTTTATTCTGATATACAGACAAGATTCGACCGATATCGAAAACATGAAAGACGATATCGTATATCCAATAGACGAATCGATAGTCCCGTCCATTTTTTTGAGGCCAGAATTGAAACTTTCTCCTTTTACTTCCAGTGATTCAATTGCAAATGATACCAGGTACTACTTAATTTAGATTTTACTATAAACTAAAATGGATTTATTTCAGAGATCAATCAGATGATATTTGGAACGAATCCCAAGTCACCGTCTTACAAATCGACTCGGGTACCGATAACGGAACTGGTCTCAGTACGTCAGAAATTACTCCTTTATCTAGCACAGGTATAGGAACTATATTTTACTCTTACTTGAATGATGTCCAAGCAAGTGCATTTTTTGTCTAGTTTCGAGTAGTTTATTAACACCATCTTCGAAGAGAAAACACCTTTTGATGATGCAACACCAACAGAGATCTTCATTTGACACTGAAGGCTTAGAAGAAGAACCCAAAGACGACAGCTTTTCAAGCCAATTGGTTATCGACAAATCTTATAACAAGGTAAACATTTTTTTTTAGTAAACTTTTAGCCTACATCGCTTTATATAATCACATAGAGATGAGGGATGGGAGATGGTTAAGGAAGCATAGGCGCCGGAATTTCAAAATTACTATGGGGGCTCGGGCTCTAAAAATTATCAGAAGTAGAATTATTTATACAGACAGGACTAGACTACTAGACTCATAGGCTTAAATGGGACCAGTTGACAGATAACAATTTCACTGCGCAGGGTCGCCACACTGAATCATTGATCGTCCCTGCATAATATTGAAATTCGTGCATTTTCGGCAGCTCGGCTATATTCGGCTTCGGCAGCACCATTGGAGTAGCCAGGATTTTGTCTTGAAAAGAAATTTTGGCCTTTTTACGGTATTTTTGATGGTGGAGGCAAGCGGGGATGCGGCCATTTTCACAAATTTTGATAAAAATTTATAGTAGAAAGTTACTTTTATTATAATATCACATATATCAAGGCAAAAATATATATTTCCGCGGGACAATTAAGCAGAATGACTGCACTGAGTTTTTTTTCGGTTAGTTTCACTTTGAATTATGTGAACCTCAGAGTAATACTACATAAATAGAGAGGGCAAGTCATTCATAAAATCGTTCAGTTTCTGCGGCCAACAATCCTAAACGACAATAGTGGATTAATGAATGAACTACATGGAGTCGGGATAAGATTGCGGACAATGCGGGCCAATCACAAACAAAACCCGTTTGACATTTCTTACTATGAATACTACAGCGCATTCGCGATAATGGTCGGGCTTGCTCCGGCAATATTTGCATCTTTCTTTATCTGGTTATCTTAACAAAGATAAAACGATTCAGGTGGGCGTTCCTAGACGAATACAACTAGGTTCTGAGATTTTAGGCAGTGTTGCCATTTTCAGCTAGCACAAAATTTTGTTCAAATTTTATTGAGATAATAGATTATTATTTTATATTAAAATTATTCTCATTCAATTTTGGAAAGCACCGCGATATTTTATGTTATAATTGTATATACATATACCTATCTAGGTTTTCATATTTCCGATGATTTTTTTTCAATTTCCAATTTCATTTTCCCTGCAACTTAGGACAATTTATAAATATGGCAAATCTACAGTAAGTGTCCGCAAGTGATCTTAGAATGGGAGTCAATGTTTGGGGCATCTTTTAATCATAATAAACCTATGTATTTCATGTGTTAATCTGATGTGTGAACCAAGCGAAAAGTTGTTGATATTTTTCAAATTACCAGAAAACAGGCCAAAAAATTGATATTTATTAAATATCCTTGTATCTTTTTAAAAATTTAGACATAGACGTAAAATCGAATCCTGAACCACTTTTCTCTCTACAATTTTTCGATTTCTGGTCATCTAACCCCACTTTTTACATATTTAAGGCGAACTTTTTAAATTTCCCGCCATAACTGTGGTCACATGACATCTGTCACAGTGCTTTTTTTTGTTTATGAATAGTGGCGCCGTGTCGGGTCCCCAAAATTTTCCAGAATCAAAATCTTTTTTTATTTTTTCCGGGTTTAGGAAGTGTCGGAGCGAAAAACACCAAGAGACATTTTCGACGTATTTTTGGCTCCTCTATCCGGCGGTATTTTTTATTTTTCCAAATTCGGAAAAGTAAATGCAGGGCGTGTATGCACCATTACACGCCGTTTTCCAAAATTGGGGAAAGAGAGGCTAAAACCCCTCCGGAAGGTCGAAGAGGGCTAGAATTTAGAATATCAACTTTTCTGGACCCCTTTCATATTTTATATTCCGAATTCGGCCAAAAAAAATTATATTTAAGGGCCCCCAGGGGGCTTTGCTTTTCAGATAGGAGCCCCCCGTATTTTTTTTTTTTTCGATAAAACTCCAATAGATTTGTACCAAATTTCAGCTCGATAGGACCATCGGTTCGCCCTCAGCAAATTCTTGAAATTTTTTCCATGATAAACTTGTTAAAAAAGCCAGTGTATTGGTACATCATGATATATTCATGTGATGTAAACATACCTATCATGAAAACAAACGGAAAGGAAATAATAATCCAACGACTTATTGAAAATACAGGTTCAAATACTACACAACAAAATATTCAAACTCTTTGTTAATGTAGATATAGCAAAAACAACGAAAACATAAAACACATCAATTTGATATAAAAGTGAATAGTCTAGGAACTCAATATTTTTCTACCTACCTACTACATAGACATATAATACCTACCCCCATAGAAAATTCACACAAACCTCCATTGCTCCCATGGTTCCGGCGCCTATGTAAGGAAGGAACCATTTAAGAGAGTATTGTGATCCCTTCTTCAGCGTGGTTCCTCCTAAATCTTCAACATGTTCCTCCTTTCTTCGTTTTGTGCCAGTGGAAGTTCAATAATATCCATTGTTCATATCTTTCCCCCACTTATGGAGCATTGTTCCGACTTCACAGTGTCCTGTGATTGCCCCTTCTAAGGTGCTTATCGATCTTTTATCCAGTGTAATAATTTCCTGGTTTTCTCTATACCGGCCACAAAGCTCGTGATGTTACGCAGTTATTGCGATTGCTCCATCTTATTCTGTTGTGCAGTTGCGTCATGGTTTTGTCTACTAAATCCTTCAACAGTTTGATCGTTGGTTGTAATGAGTCGTTTATTTCAGCTTGGTCCTTTTTCATTCCCAGTTTTACTAGTATATCTGCCATTTCTCTCCGATATTACTATCCAGGAACCCAGCTTAGTCTGACGTTACTGTTCCTGATCCAGGACAGCGCATCCCGGCAGCTCATCACTATTTTTATATACATTCAGACATGTATCGCGAAATTGTTCGAAAACATCACTCAGTAATGTCACATCCGACTTGAGATACACATCTGAATATTCGCCCAAGTTCTTACACTGAAACAAACGCCAAACCTTCTTTGCTCTATCGTAATATTCATCGCTGATATCTTCTTCACGTAAAGTATCAAAAAACTGGTCTTTTGTTGGAAGAGATGGGTAATTTATTTTTTCCATTGAATCAACGAAGCTATAGGGAAAAACACCTTTTTGACGAACTAAATCGAATTGCTCATTATTGGAAAAATACTTTCGTGTTTCCCTGAAACTGTCAATTTCACCCAAATTTTCCAAAGATGTCGATAAAAATTTGAAGCTGTCGATAAATCGTAACTTTAAATATTTTCTTTTGAATGATCCAGTTTTTTTATCCTTGTAGTCATGCACATAAATACTCCCTGTGAACGATATATACGATACAGTTCTTTAATGAGCAAATGACAATCATACCCACTTAAATTGTGGAATATAATAGGGATAAAATTAGCTAATTTATAATTTAAATTACAGTTGGAATGTGCAGCGTCAAACCTTTTCTTTCCTGTTATATATGACAGTGGTCTCTAACTTTAACATCATTTTTGTTAAATGGTTTCTCACAAATAGCACATGTTATCACTATTTTTGATATGTGATTCTAGTAGTGCTGTTTTGTCATCTACATAATATAATATGGCAAAACATTGCCCATCGCATTGTCCACAGTACCTGCATCAGTTACTTACTTTTGGTCCCTCGGAAGAATTTTCCTTTGTCTGGACCTGGACGAATCATGAGTATCCATAATGAACATAGAATTCCTACCAGGATCTCCTTTCTAATCTTGCTTTTAAATCGGTTGAAGCTGGTTTTGCATTCATAATTCCACTCTTCCCCGGGGGAAATTTTGGTTTTGCGGGGTCAGCTCAAGCAACAAGATTTATTCTCGTAGTTTTTCCTCTAGGAAGAAACCCTTTAACAATAAACTCTCTTTTTTCAGCTACAAGTACCTGGATCTCTTCCAATTGGCACTTCAAGATTAACCCAGCCAGCTGTTTCTCCGTCACGTAGACGAAAATTTTCCGATAGTCCACCTGTTCCTGTAGAATCTCCTTTACCGGCCGTAGTACCGGACTTACTGTTAGCTAGGACAGATTCTTGTAAAACCACTGATCTTTCCGAAAGCACCACCACTGACGACTATATCACAGCCAATTCTGGAACGGATAGCTCTAGAAAAAGCACATCGTGTCAGGTGCCATTATTGTTTATTTTCCTATTAAACCTTATGCAATTGAGTCATTGTTCCAGGGATTAGAGAAACAATTAGCTCAGAAACATATTCATCAGCAAACGAGTAAAAGAGGAAAACATCAAAACGATGGTTCTTCTTCTACCAGTAAAATATTGGATAAAATTGGTATGGACGATATGGTTGTACCGTCGCTTTCTCCGTCATTTTCTCCAGAAGTCGGATATTTGGCCGATGCTAAATCTAACAGCACTTCCTGCTACACCCCCGTGCCTCAAATACGTACCGGCCGTTCAACTCCGTCCGAAGATAGTAGTTCTTGCGGTAGCTACAGTATCGGAGCATCAACCCCAGATCTTTTAGAAAGGTTAGCATTCACTTCATATATCATTTAAGTTTCATTCACATTCCTAACTCCCAACAAAGACATTTTCTAAAATTATTATTTTATGTTATTTATCAGATATACAGTGCCTTCTGGAAAGCCAGACAAGATTTGGTCTGACGATGAAGAACGAAGTTTACAATATTCGTCGTCCGGATATTACGAGTCTCCCGTTGAAGACCAGTAAGTATTCAAATACTTCCAAATATCAAAGTTTTCATATGTTCTACTTCAGAAAACGAAATCAACTTTCAAACACCACGAAAAAAAGAAGCAAGTCAGGATTGATAAATCCGGATCTAACGAATACTTATCCGAAAAGCAGTAACCATAATAATACGAACCATAAATCGAAACAAAAAGCCGAAATAAAAATTTCCCCATCGAAAGAAAATGTTAAAGGAAAAAATGATAAAATAAAACGTTCAAAAGCTAGAACCCGTAGTCCGATGCAAGGAAATAAAATAAGTTTCCAAGGTAAGTAAAAACTACATATTTTTAATTTATTGAGACTACTTATATTAAATCTCTAGGTCGAAAATCACCACACAAAGACAAATTACTCATCACAGATGAAAAAGTCTATAAAGTTACATCCGATGAGTCTAGTACCGGACAAGATTATTCCATTAGTGAAACACAAAGGAAAATTAAAAAAAACAAAGACACTTCGAGAAGAAAATCTCTACCGCGTTCTCCGTCTAGTCAAAAAGTTCAAAAGAAAAGCGAAATTGATTATCAACCATCCAGTTTACCTGGAAGTTTGTCAAGAAGGAAATCTAATAAATCTTCAAAGTGTGCGTCAACAGAGAATGAGAACAATCAAAAATTAAGGTGAATATTTTTGATTTAAGTAATATTTTTTTATATTGTATTCAGTTGCAGCAATTACTTGAGAAGATCCGAAACTCCTATCTGTTCTTCAAAGGACACAACAACTTTAAAAGCTTTGAGCGCTGAATCTTTAAGATCTGTAAGCCCTGGAAGTGATAGTGTATTTTACAGCGACCCTAGTAGCCATACAGCTGCTGATCATCAATTTCATTGTTTACATTGCGGAAAAGAGGTGAAAGACAACTTTTCTATACGTAATAATTTGCAAATTTGGTATTTTTCTATAGGTGGATATGCATCCAGACGATGCAGAAAAAAGCAGCAATGGTCAACAACAACACATTGTACAACCTCCTGCAGGTTTTGAAGACTCGCCCAAAATAAAGGGTGGAAGATTATTCAAGAAGCTAGACAAAAGATTGAAATCGGAAGAAAAAGGGCATAGTGACTATAAGCGACACAAATATAGACCAGATATGAGAGCAAAGGTGACGAAAATTTAATACTAGATGGTTTGATCTACTAAAAAGTAATAAATTTGTTCGGAATTTAATATAAGTATTTACCTAGTCAGAAGAACGCGGTGGATGCACGAAAAATTTCCAAGGACGATTACGGCCCATGCAACGGTCGCCGTTCTGCAGCAAAGAGCATCTCAAATCAGCCGACAGCAGTCCAAGCATCCTGCCAGGAGATCCAGAAGAAGACGACGACCACGGTTTATACCAGGCCGGTTACGTCTCCGGCATGTGGCTCTGCGTACATGAAACGGAAACAATTTATGGGACTCTTTCTCCGACAGGTAACTATAATATATGTATTTCATCACTAATAGGTTGAGCTAAATTTATAAAACCTATATAAGTTCATATTGGAGGTTGTAGCTTAACGTCAAACTTACAAACAGTTTATCATGAACCGATGTTGATCCAAATATTGAGGCTATATGTTCGTAGTGCAGGTTCTAACTTTTGTGTCCAACATAGTCATTAAGAAGTTTATAAATCACTCCAAACCTCAAGACTCAACTCCAAGTTTCTAAATCCAGTCATTGATTTGTTCTTAAATTTGTTTCAGAATCCGAACAAGTTCGACGAAGTTCAATCTCGAGTACTGAATCGGAACACGAACTTTGTAAACGATATCAAGCCATCACACATCGAATTGTCCATCGAAAACCTTATGTAGACATGTATAAAAGGTTACATTTTAGGACGTTTGGTAAGTATTAATATGTTAAACTTCATTTTGATACATATACAACTAGCATCATAATGGGGGATTGTTGTTGCATTGATTAAAACTTCAAATTAGATTGGTGTAGAAAAACCAAGCAGGAATATTAAGAAATTCCTTCCCATTGTATACATTGAATAAACAAAAATAATTCTAGATATTTCTCAACGATTGGTTTTGTAAGAAAATTCTTGTATAAAGTTAGGTCAAAGCAAAGCTGAGCTAAGTACTAAGTACTCAGCAAATGTACATATCAAGTATTCAAAATTTTTAGTATACAGTATCAAGTACAATATTTTTCGAATATATGTACTTGTGTATTCGAGATTTGAAGCCGGATTCTATGGAAAAAGGCACTCAGAAAAAATGAAAAATTGATAAATCACCCCATATTGCTTAACACGATTTTATTTCTGAAACTATAAATCCAAATAAGCTGAAATTTTCAGGGATTGTAGTCCATTACTGGAATAAAAATCGCTGAAAATTTCAGCTTTCTATCTCTAAAAGAAAAAAAGTTATGACCTTTCAAAGTTTTCCAAAATCTAAATCATAAGGTAGCTATCTTCTTATTAAAACGATGAAATTTCAAATTTTTTTTTATTGAGATTTAGTGTCCTAATGTTCCTTTAGGATCTCCCAAACTCCATATACTAAATTATTCTGAGATTTGGAGCTGGATTTTATAAAAAAAGGCACTCAGAAAAATTGAAAAATTGATAAATCACCCGATATTGCTTAACACAATTTTATTTCTGAAACTATAAGTCCAAATGAGCTGAAATTTTCAGAGATTGTAGTCCATTACTGGGATAAAAATCGCTGAAAATTTCAGCTTTCTATCTCTAATAGAAAAAAAGTTATGACCTTTCAAAGTTTTCCAAAATCTATATCATAACCTTCTTACTAAAACGATGAAATTTCAAAAAAAAAAAAATGTTGAGATTTCGTGTCCTAATAGTCCTTTGGGATCCCCCCAACTCCATGCATTAAATTATTCTGAGATTTGGAGCCGGATTTAATGAAAAAAGGCACTCAGAAAAATTGAAAAATTGATAAATCACCCCACATACACGATTTTATTTCTGGAACTATAAATCCAAATGAGCTGAAATTCTCAGGGATTGTAGTCCTCTACTGGAATAAGAATCGCTGAAAGTTTCAGCTTTCTATCCAAAATAGAAAAAAAGTTATGATCTTTCAAACTTTTCCAAAATCCAAATCATTTATGATGAGCTACCTACCTTACTACTAACTAAAACGATGAAATTTCAAAAAATGTTTTGTTGAGATATTGTGTTCTAATGGTCCTTTGAGATCCCCCGAACTCCATACACTTTTAGCCTAGCTATAACAAGAAAGCATTACTCAATCTTATGCTTTTCCTGCGATCAATGGAACCATATTAAATGCGTTGATTTGTCTGTAGCTCAGCTTAAAAATTTTGAAATGGAATTGAAGAAATCCCGAGGTGATCGATGGAATTGTCCTTCGTGCCTAAGAGCGGAGGTACAAAAATCTCAAGCTAATCGCAAATCGCTCTCTCCTGTGCCATCGTCCGTGCAGCCAGAGCGCAACCCAGGCGACCTTACATTACTGGATATTATGAATAAGCTCGATAGGATGGAACTGGAAAGTAGGGAATTGGCCAGAATGTACAATAAACAGCTTGAAGTAAATAATAAACTTCAGAGAGAGATCGACAACGTAAATACTCGAATGCTTGCTGTAGGGAATGAGCTGAAGAAGCGAAATGGCCTCTCTGGGACCGATCAAAGTGAAGAGTTTTATCAGGAGTACTGTGACAGAGAGCACCGTAAGAATAATATTATCGTTTTTGGTCAACCTGAACTCACGTCGGAGGAGGAGGACGGTATGGAATCTGCTGGTAGTATCCTACAAAATGTGTGTCCAGCATTTGACTTATCAAATATTTTGCACGTATCGCGTCTCGGCCGTGCTCAAAACTCTGCCAGCCGTCCACGTCCTTTGAAAATATGCTGCAAAGATAGTGGCACTGTCGTCGGTGTGTTGAAGCAGTGCTACAAAATTAGGAATAACCCACAGCTTAAGCATCTTACAGTTGCCTCAGACAAAACCCCGAAACAGATGTGTTAAGGAACAGTTGATGCAGCGCAAAAAAGCTGGTGAGGTAGACTTAAGAATTAAGCACATCAGGGGCATTCCCACGATAGTGAAAATTAACAACGCAATATCGGAAAACTAGATGCATCCAACAGGAGTAATCCCATTTCTTCAACTATACACTACTGCTATCAAAACGTTCGCGGCTTAAACACAAAAATCCTGGACTTCTAAACAACTGTGGCGGCGTCGGGAATGCACATTATCGCTGTTGCGGAGACATGGTTAATACCTGACATTGGAAACTCTGAAATTATCCCAGAATTTTATGATGTATATCGCAGTGACCGCAAGTTCGGCCGTGTGGACTCCACTAGGGGAGGAGGAGTGCTTCTTGGCATCTCCACTTGCTTCAAATTACGTATGGTCTAACTGCCGGGTCTGGAGGCAAGTGTACCACTTATAGACTTTGTCTGCTGTAGAACGGTTATCGAATCCATTATTTCCATATTTGTTTTATATATACCGCCGTCAGTACCCAATGATGATGTGGAACTTTTTTTCGACACATTGGTTTCACAAAACCTTCTCCAAAATAAAAAAATCCTTATCGTAGGCGACTTTAACGCACCCCTTTACGTTAACGACGAATCAGTAGATCAAAAGACTAGAATTGTGAAGAATTTCATGGCCATATCTAACCTCTCCCAATATAATGGCATTTTAAATAGCCGCAACCGAATGCTGGATCTTGTCTTGTCTAATGTTCCCTGTAATGTTGTAAGGAATGACGTTCCTCTTGTAAATGAAGATGCATACCATCCGTCTCTCTGTTTTGATTTTGATGCTTCATTTACACATGTTAACAACTTTGCGCTAAACAAATATCCACCAAAAGAGTTTAATTTTCGAAAGGCTAATTTCCTTTTATTGTACGAATCTGTCCTTAATGCTGATTGGTCTGCTGTGTATGCCGCGACTGGTGTAGATGATGCATGCTCGGCCCTGTACAGTGTTCTTAACCACATTTTTGAGTGTTGTGTGCCCCTGAAAATAAAACGGAGTCGGAGATATCCCTCATATTATACGCGGGAGATTATTAATAACTTAATCCTTTTTTTTTTTTTTTTTTTTTAATCCTGGGAATCGGTCATACAATGAAAACACTAGCTTGTAATTTGTAACGTTTCGGTTTAATTAACCATCATCAGACAATATTTTTCTAAAAAAGATCAAAAAATATTTTTACATAAAATTCTTTTTTTTTTTTTTTTTTTGATTTTGGACAATTCTACATTATAAACATAAAAATAAAAAACAATACAATCATAGGTACAGTACAAACTAATTAGGTGCCACATTTAAAAAAAAGACAGATATTAACATTATTTCTATATTTAATTATTATGTGGAAGAGAGTTACGAGTAACACGAGAGAAGGATGAAAAGTATGTATATATATATATTTCATTTAATATTTTTCTAAAAATAGTGAAGGTTTAGGAAAAAAAAATTCAGAAAGAAAAAGAAATAAAAAATATAGCAATGGAATTCTTACCAGCTATTGTATAATCGTAGTCTACCAATTGTGTATTCAAGTATTATTGTAATTAGATCATCAAACTAAGTTGTTCCATGATTTAATTTTTCTTTTTCATGTTTTAAAAAATCTTTATAATTTATTTGATTTTAACCAGTTCGACCTTTCGCAGTTCTAGTTGATGTTGCTACGTAAATAGGTGGAAGTGTTTGTTTCTTATCAGTCAGGGTTTTTTTTTTTTTTTCTTTTTTAGCCTATTTGGAATTCCATTCTATACACAGTGTGTTCGTTAAACTAATGTATAGGGAGAGCAAAGTTTGTGTTATGTTTATTGAGTTGTGATTAAATTATGGTAAATATCACTTAAGTTTTCTGTATCAGATCTAAAGTTGATAGTATTTGAATTTTTTTGAATTTGGATCATTTCATGAATTCTTCTTTTATGGTAATTGTCTTCTCTTACTAAAATTTGTGCATTATCAAAATTGAAACTATGTAGGTTTTCATGTGCATGGTGTGTTAAAGCTGTTTTGTTTTCATTGTTTCGCCTCAAACTATATTTGTGTTCATATATTCTTTTTTTAAAGTATTGTTTTGTTTGTCCAATATATGTATTACTGCAATCAGAACAATCAATTTTATACACTATATTCGGAGTATCCATTTTGGGAACATTAGGTTTTAGATTGGTGAAGATTTTATTATTAGCCAAGTTCCTTGTTGTTTTTTCTGCAATTTGGATGTTGTGGGGCTTTAATATTTTTGAAATTTTTTTGTTTATTTCAGGAATGTATGGAAGGGATATATATTTGTTTTTATTTTCTGTTCTATGATAGGATGTAGAGTTATAAATTTTATTGATTCTATTTTTAATTATGGGTTCATAAAATTTTTTTGGGTAATTGTTTTTGTTTAGTACTTCTTTAATTTTTATCAAATTTTGAGGTCTAAATTCCGGATCTGATAAATTAATGGCACGATCAGTAAGTGCTGTTATGACACTTTTTTTATATTTTAAAGGGGCATAGGAGTTGTAATTTAGGTATCTGCCCGACCATATATCTTTGGTAAACCAATTTGTTTTAATTATGCCATTTTCTTTGTAATTTATGGTTAGATCCAAAAAATTTAATTCCTTATTTTGATCCATTTCTATGGTAAACTTTAAGGTTTTGTGAAATTGGTTAAATTGTTCTAAGGTATAATGAATCTTATTTTCAGGCAAACACATAATACAATCATCAACAAAACGTTTAAAAAATATGGGTTTATAATTTAATTTGTTTATAATTGTTTCTTCCAAACATTCCATTACTAAGTTTGCTATTGTTGCTGATATTGGGGATCCCATTGCTACACC